TCCAATCTGAGTGACAGAGTGAGACTCCAACTCCAAAAAAAAAAAAAAGTGTTATGACATACTAAGATTTAATTGCGTGACACTGCTAATTCTTATAAGTACATCTCACCTTAGATTCTTCTCCTGATTTTTGTATGGATTTTCAGTGTTGTGGTCTTCCCATTTTCCCCCTAAAATGTAGATCCAGAATAATCATTATAAATTATCTAAAAATTATAAGATTCCAGGTCCACAATAAGCTGTAACTATGCCTTGTTTATTTACCAAAGTATTCCCTTTTCACATTGCAAATCTTGGAATAGTGATAATAAGCAGGAAATCCTTGTTCTCTAATTGATTAAGTGAAAAAAATGAGAGCATTCTTACCTATAGAGGCCAGGTTCTTGAATGTTTCCTGCATGACATCTCTGTAGAGTTTCTTCTGTGAAGGACCCAGCAGAGCCCACTCTTCCTGGGTGAAGTTCACAGACACATCTTCAAAGGCCACCGATTCCTAAAATACCGCACATAATAGATGAGACTAATAAGGATGGAATCTGTGCTTAATTCATAAGAAGCTCACATATGATCTTGTGGTCTTCAAATATTTAATGTTTGACTTGAGTGCCAGAACTTCAACTTTCTGTCTACATTTACTTCCTTATAAGTTTAATAGCACCTGGAGCACATGAACTTATATCTACATTTTTAGTGTGGTCACTACAAATCTTATTGCTCTCTAATGGTAGTGTCCAGCTAAGCTTGGAGAAATGAAATAAATCCGTTATAAATGAAATAAATTTTAAGAACAGTAATTCTTTCTTATGAGAGAAAGTCTTACCTCATTTATTTTTTTGAAAGACAGAATCCTGCTCTGTTGCCCAGGTTGATCATAGTTCACTGTAATCTTGAACTCCTGGGATTCAAGTAATTCTCCTGTCTCAGACTCCCAAGCAGCCAACAGATGGGTGCCACCATGCCTGGCTAATTTTTTTTTGTAGAGATGAGATCTCACTATGTTGCCCAGGTTAGTCTTGAACTCCTGGGCTCAAGTGATTCTCCTGCCTTGGCATCCCAGAGTGCTGGGATTACAGCCATGAGTCACCAGTTCTGGCCTCATTTCTTATTACCCAAATCACTCAGCACTCTATAAAGTACAGGATCAAATGAGCAGGAAGTGTTAATAAATAAATACACATTGAAAACCTGGAAGTTTTTTCTTCTATGCCCTTCATTATAGATGAGAGGCCGGGCAGCCTGTGGAAATCCAACTTGTTACAAGGGCTAGCTGCCCATGTGGTCCTGAAGTACTTGAGGCCATCTGAAATACTCAGATTCAGCTGGATGATACAAGTATTCTTTTAGAAGAACATTCATTTAAACTTTTTTCTTTTTTTGAGTTGGAGTCTCACTCTGTCCCCCTGGCTAGAGTGCAGTGGCATGCTCACAGCCACCACAGCCTTGGCCAGCTGGGCTCAGGTGATCCTTCTGCCTCAGCCTTCCAAGTAGGTGGAACCTCAGGTGTGCTCCACCATGCCCGGCTAATTTTTTGATTTATTATAAAGATGAGGTCTCGCCAAGTTGTCCAGGCTATTCTCGAAGCCCTGGGCTCAGGCAGTCCTCTCGTCTCTGTCTCCAAAACTGCTTGGATTACAGGCATGAGCCACTGTGCCTGGTTCCACTACTATTTTCTTGTAAATTTAAACTTGGCCATGATCCAGTAAATTTGTGTCCGCTTTCCAGAGAATTGATTGAACATGTGCACTTGGGAGACTCAAAAATGATAAGAGCAATCTTTATTCTTTTCCTTTGTTTTCCCTTCCTTTCCCTCCCTCCCTTCCTTCCTTCGTTTTGGAGGGCAGTGGGACAATCACAGCCCACTGCAGCCTCAACCTCTTGGACTCAGATTGTGAGCTTTTCACCTCAGCCTCCTGAGTCGCTGGGACTATAGGACTGTGCTACCATGCCTGGCTAATTTTTTGATTTTTTTGTAGAGACGAGGGCTCACTATGTTGCCTAGGCTAGTCTTGGACTCCTGATCAAGCAATCCTCCCACCTTGGCCTCCCAAAGTGCTGGATTACGGGTGTGAGCCACTTCACCCAGCAAGAACATTATTTTTTTACCAAGCCAAAAATAAGCATGAAAAAGCTAAAACAACCATGATCATTGAAATAGATGAGTGGCCGGGCTTGGTGGCTCAGCCTGTAATCCCACGCCTTGGGAGGCTGAGGTGAGTGGATTGCCTGAGCCCGCGGGTTCGAGACCCACCTGGGCAACTTGGCGAGACGTCATCTCTAAAATAAATCAAAAAATTAGCCAGGCATGGTAGCGCACGCCTGTAGTTCCAGCTACTTGGAAGGCTGAGGTGGAAGGATCGCCAGAGCCCAGCAGGTTGAGGCTGTGGTGGCCGGGAGCGGCCACTGCACTCCAGTCTGGGTGACAGAGTGAGACTCCAACTCAAAAAAAAAAAAAAATAGATGAGTGAGTGGATGGCCTGCACCCTCAGATATTAGCACGTGGAACACACAAAGGCAAATGCCACCAAAGAAACCTTTCAATGTAATTCCACTAATACTCATTTATTAAATGTGCACTTGGGAGGAACACTACCTGTAAAAAAGAATGGATGGTTAAAGTATAAAGAATAACCAAAGAATTTGAGACAGAGATGAGACAGGGAGGTGAACATCAGGAGGCCCCAAGGACTCCTCAATGCATTTATTTTTTAAAATGGGGTCTCACTCTGTCACTCAGGCTGGAGTACAGTGGCACAATCATAGTTCACAGCAGCCTCAAATTCCTGGGCTCAAGTGATCCTCCCAGCTCAGCCTCCCTAGTAGTTGGTACGACAGGCACATGTCACCACATATGACTAATTTTTATTATTATTTTTTTAAGAGAGGAGTTCTTGCTTATGTTGCCCAGGCTGGTCTCAAACTCTTGGCTCCACTTGATTCTCTTGCCTTGGCCTCCTGAATGGCTGAAATTACAGGCCTGAGCCACCATGCTTAGCTCCCCAATACCTATTTCTGAATCTTGATGCATCCAAGGATATTTATATTAAAATATGCCAGAAAATATTTATTATTATCTTCTGAAATTATTTAACGATAAATCATTGTACATGTTTATTTGCTGAGTTATATGACGATGTGTGTTTTTCATTCAGAGTTTTGGCAGCAATAGTTGGAAACACACCAGGTATCTAATTAGAAAAAACTGGATCAGGTATGGAGGCTCATGCCTATAATTCCAGCACTTTGGGAGGCCAAAGCAGGAGGATTGCTTGAGCCCAGGAGTTTGAGACCAGCCTACGCAACATAGCAGCAACATAGCAAGACCTTGTCTCTGCAAAAAAAAAAAAAAATTAGCCAAGTGTGGTGGTGCATGCCTGTAATCCCAACAACTCAGGAGGCTGAGGCAGAAGGATCACTTGAACCCAGAAAGTCGAGGCTGTGGTGAGCTGTGATTGCACCACTGCACTCTAGCCTAGGTGACAGAGAGTCTCTGGCTCAAAAAGAAAAAAACAGAAAAAAAGAAAAAAAAATTGGTTACATAAAGGCACCATCCTATGTATCTTTTTTTTTTTTTGAGTTGGAGTCTCTGTTGCCCAGACTGGAGTGCAGCGGCCGCTCCCGGCCACTGCAGCCTCGACCTGCTGGGCTCCGGCAATCCTTCCGCCTCAGCCTTCCAAGTAGCCAGAACTACAGGCATGCGCTACCACGCCCGGCTGATTTTTTGATTTATTGTAGAGATGAGGTCTCGCTGCCCAGGCGGGTCTCGAACCTGCGGGCTCAGGCAATCCACTCACCTCAGCCTCCCAAAGGTGTGGGATTATAGGCTGAGCCACCGAACCTGACTTTTCCTATGTATCTTTAAAAAAGATAGGGGGGCATGTACTGATACAAAAATATCTTGAGGATATATGACTAGAACAAGTGAGCAAAGTTCAGCAAAATATATATACCATCTTTTCTTTTAAAAAAACGTATACCTGTGCAGTTATGTAACAAAATATTTGTATACTGCTGTATTTGTTTTATCCCCTTGGTAAAAATTCACAATACAGAGACTGAGGCCCATCAATTTCACAAAGTAGGAAATAATTGGTTTTTAAAAAACTTAAGTTTTCTTTGCTAAACTCCAAGAATCTAGACTACCTTAAATAAGCCATCAAAAAGATTAAGATGTCAAAGCTAGAGGAGACTGTTAGTAACAAAGGATTGCTAATGACAATAGCAAGTTTTATTGTAACTTCCTACCGTGCTTCCAAAATTATGGAATGATCTATCATGTTCTGACAAGAGAATAATACAGCATCAATGAGTCTTACTAACTGTAAAGCATCTAATTTTTGAACAGACATACTATCCCTGTTCAGCCCCCTCCAGGAGCTAATTCAGAACCACAGGGTTTAATTTGAGGGAAAAGAGAATACCTTTTTTGTTAATAATATCACAGTTCCCACCTGCTCTACGCAATTTTAGGAAAAGAACAAAGAAAAATAGCTCTGTTTGTGTCCCAGTAGTGAAAACTCCTGAGAGGATAAGGCTTTGCAGGGCTTTGGCCTTTTTGCATATGACATGACTATATATGTAGACAATCTCAAAAAATACAGAACAAAGAAAACTCCTGGGACTAGTAACAGCATGAGGCAAGGTTGAAGGATACAAGCTCAACATATAAAGGCTAATCATTTCCTATACAGCCACATACATACAGTCTTTTATCTTTGATTTAAAAAGACCAAAGGTAGCTGAATGTGGTGGCTCATGTCTATAATCCTAGCACTTTGGGAGGCTGAGGAGGAGGAATGCTTCAGGCCAGGGGTTCAAGACCAGCCTGGCCAACACAGCGAGATCCTGTCTCTACAAACAATTTTTAACAATTAAAAAAAAAAATAACCCCCCAAACAAAAATAAAAAACAAAAAAGGCCAGGTATGGTGGCTCATGCCTGTAATCCCTACACTTTGGGAGACTGAAGCAGGAGGATTGCTTGAATCCAGGAAATTGAGACCAGCCTAGGCAATATAGTGAGATCTTGTCTCTACCAAAAAAAGAAAAATCAAAAAATTAGCTGGGTATGGTGGTACATGAATCTATAGTCCCAGCTACTCAGGAGGCTGAAGTGAGAGGATCACTGAGCCTAGGAATTCAAAGCAGCAATGAGCCATGATCATGCCACTGCATGCAGCCTGGGTGATGGACGGAGAACCCCAACTCAAAAAAAAAAAAAATAAAAATAAAAGGCAATTTTGTGGCGAAATGAGTCTTTTCAACAATTACTACTGCTGAAAATAGTAGAAAATCACATAAAAATATTAATCTAGACACAGAATGTACTCCTTTCACAAAATGTAATAAAAATGGATCACAGAAAAAAAAAAACAGAAGAAAAAGAATGGATCATAGATTCAAAATATCCAAAGATATTTAAGATATCAAAATATCTTAAATCTCAACAATAAGACAAACAATCCAATTACAAATGGATAGCCAGGATATCC